GTGTATATATATATATATATATATATATATACACACACACACACATAAAATTACTGAATTTTTAACCCTTTACCATTAGGTAGGCCAAAGTGCATGTCGCAACCTTTTACAAAGTTAATTTCAAAATTCAACTGCACTACATTATTATCAATGTAAACAAATAAACTTGGCATCAAAGTGTAGTTAATAAATCAAATTATAATATTACTTATGTTTTAAGTTCTTCATTTTATAAGGAAATATTTTAAAAATCCTCAATCTCCCCTAGTATAAGAACTATGACATTTGCTTTCTACGTCTTCCCCCTTCTATAACTTATTTACCACCCCTACAAGAAATATAGAATCAAATTTAAATTACTTATTATAACATAGATATTGCTTGGGAAAAGTCAACATTTTCCAACCCTGATACTTACTTTTCTCACATACTAGTTTTCCTCAATTTTGTGCTGCCCTCTATATCCGCCACTAGCCTTGAAGCTCCCACCTAAACTCAGTGTTTCCACGTGGTATTTGTCAGATTTTATATGGGCTGGATTCTTTATAGTAGGTGTCACAATAAACAGACAGCACACATAATCCACTTGTTTTTACAATTGTATATATTCAAAACAAGTCAAATATATTTATAAAAATTCTTTACACTATTGGTTATCACAGTTGTATCCAGAGCTTTAAATAATTGTCTCCTTTTCATCAAAGTCTACACAGGCGAGTTCAATTACTTTAGAACACCTTTTGACAAGAGAAATTATTCTCCTATGCTCTGTTATAAAAATACAAGGCTGTGATACTCACTTTAGAAATAGCCCATTATGACTAAACTTACATGCAGTCTAACTTCACTTTTACTTTCACTAACTTACTTACTTCCACTAACTTTATTTTACTTCACAAACTTGATTGCCTATATGTATATATTGCTCGCCCAAGGCCCAGAACCTTCCACAAATCATAAGATGCCTTGATGCAACAATACTCACTCAAAGCAACAAGAAAATTTCAAAAGGTTTGAGCAACATGACATCAACTTACAACAACTGAACCATGCAACAAATTATTCACAAACAGTTACACAATCAAACCTGTGAAAAAGCATCACTTCCAAAAATACCAAACTCAATACTTGCACCTTACAATGTAAATTGCAACTCTTGAATTAAATTTAAAGAAAACATTTGTGCATATCCAATAGTTTGCTGCACTGAAGCATGCAAATGTACATGCAATAACCCTCCCCCAATAGGAGTGTAACACACCCTCAGCTGATTCCCTCTAAACTAATTGTTTAATCATCACTTTGAGATTAAGCAAAAAAAGATGCACTAGAAGTGAGGAGGACAGATGGGAAGAATAAGCAGAGGTAAGTATCTATAAGAAACACATTTTCAGTGTTGAAAAATGTTAACTTCCGATACTATATCTCTTCTCACATATTAGCTCGAATCCCACACTGATGTGGTGGAAGGAGTGGTCCAAAAGTTACCTAGTTTAGCCCCCTTCTGAAAGTGCCTGAAGAGAGCCCATGGAGTGGGACACCCTATAAAATGAAAGTATAGGGGCACACCCATGGAAGACTGCACCCCTTCTGTACAAGGATATACTCTTCACCCATAGTGAAGAGATGTGTCACTACGTCAGGCAGAAAAGAAGTAAATCCCGAAACACATAGCATGGAAAATGGATGTGCTGTATGGTGTAGTGTGGCTAGGGCACATCAGATCGATCATGGAAAGTCAACTTCAATCTAAAACCAGGTGGCATCAGGTATTTTTCATCCAGTCTGTAATAGGAGGAGGATCCCAATCATCTTCACCTCCATATGAGGAAGCAGAAGGGAAAAAGAACTTCTATTCCTCCATCCTAAGTAGTGCTCATGTGTGCTGACCATGTGCTTATCCAATACCAGGTCACCCAGGAACTGACATCCAAGGAACAGCAGGATGAGGAAAAGCAAACATGGTGGGTCAACTCCAGTCCAAAACCATGCAGTGTTGGGAAATTTTTTTGCCTGGTTCTGTGCCAATCCAACACCAGACCACTTATGGAACCGAAATCTAGGCAGCAGTTGGATGGGAGAAAGCCAGTCAGAGGAGTGATTCATCTCCAGTCTCAAACCAGGTAGCATGTGGCATCAGGAATTTTTTGTCTGTTCCATGGTAGGAGGATTGTTCACACCATCTACACCAACATCCTACTCTCTACCAAGTGGAATAGGTCACACTCGGAGAAAGACACAATGGTTCACCACCCCAGTGGCTAGGAACTAGTGAGTGGTACTTCCATACATCACTAGAAGAGGGGGAGGGTTAAAGTGCACTGGGGAGTATGAAGGAATGCAAAACCTTAGGATTGTGCAATAGGTAACTATGAAACCCTATTTTTAAAACATCTCATCAGTGAGTGTTTCAGTCCCAATTGGCCACATGGTGCAGATTTAAACCAACTCTGGCAGGCACCACATGCCATTCAGCATGATTTTGAGATGTAGAATAGGGCCCTTGTAAAGGTAAGACAAATAGAAAAAGCACTTACCCAATCAGAGCCAGTAAGGGAGTATGGGGAATGGTGACAGGAGGCAAGCAATATCCCTCTGAAAAGAAAAGATGGCCAGATGATGAAGATAATGTGCAAATAAAGTAAGCAGGGTAGTCCACATGCAGTGAGCAGCCAGAGAGAGAGAGAGAAAAAGTATCACATTTGGCAAGAGGAAACCTGGAAAAGTTGACAATAATCCCCATCCAAAGAAGTATTTACAAGATGGATGAGCTGTCTTAGCTACCCCATTAGAGTTATGGGAGAAAGAACCCAGGTAGAAGAGGAGTTCCAAAGGATACAGAGATAGGAGTAGGACAAGGAAAATAACAGTGAACTACCCAGATGGGGCAGAAGAAGGATAGGGGTGAATGCACTTTTCCCCTTAAGAGCTGTAGACATTTTGGGGAGAAAGACATGGTCAGGATGAAGAATATATGAACGACAGAAAAGAATATGGGAAGCATCTATAGCATATACATCTGACCTACAACAGTTGCATGCAAAAAAGGAGTAAGAAATATGTCTTAAGTGAAAAACTGTACAACGAACAAGATGTTAAAGGTTCAAAAGGAGGAAGGGTAAGGGCATGGAGAACAACATCCATATACTAATCAGAAAGGAAAGCAGGCTGAGGAGGATGAAGAAGATGAAAAGATTGAAAAAGGACAGAAAGGATCAGCGAGAAGAATACATGACAAGAACAGGAAAACTGGACGGTAATCGACAGTGTTGCCCTGCAGCCAGCAATAGTTGAAAGCAATAAGCCTTGGTTGAACAACCAAAGAAAAAATTGAGAACATTAGGTAAAGGAGAAGCCATGACACAGAGACCAACTAGGGAAAATGTGCCCTTTATGTTGATATACAAGTAGGGAGAAAAAACAAATGGAACCTAGAAAGAAGGAAGGCTACACATGGAAAGAGTACGGATACCAACGAATATGAGAGGGATGAAGGAGATTGAAGGAGGAGAGATCATGATGGAGAAAGAGGAAGGTAAGCCAACATGGAACAATCAGGAAGATTTGGCATGGAGTGATCTGAATAAGGGAAAGCACAAGAAGAAGAAGATGAATAGGAAGGTAGGCATAAAGAAAAAGCTTGGTCAATCCTGATTGTATGAGTACACAGCCATAGCTGCAAGATGAGGAACAGGGGAAGTTTGGTGTTGACATGAGTGGCAAAACCATCATGAAAAGGGAGTGCCCAGCCAAGAGCATAGCCAATTGATTACCTAAGGAACAAGGGACCACTTCATTGGTAGAATCTTGCTGAGTCACAAAAGATGATCAATAACAAAATCCAAGTCACCCAGGATATGACAAACAATAAAATGATCTTGTAATGAATAGGCCCAGAAAAGGTCTAAGAGTATGAAAACAGTTGTTGGTATAGATCATTATGAGATGCCCACTGAACATCAAAAGAAAATGATCCAAAGCTCAAAATACCACCATCAGTTACAAGAGATTGATATGAAGGGTCATTTCATCATTGAACTACCAAGCCAAAATCACTTCAGAGTCCAAATATTCCATCCACCTTATCAGGGATGCATCTGTAAACAGTTGAAGGTCCAGATAAGAAGTAGAAAAAAGAGGAAAATCTGCTGAGTATTGGCTTTGTAGAGCCTCCAGGCAAAGTTGACCTGTAGGAGAGGAGGAAGGTGAATAATGGAGGACAAGAGATCTCGATCGTACAGAGTCCATTGAATATGATGCATATGAGAATGAACCGAAGGGATAAGGGATTACATGGAAACCCAAGTCCTCAAAAGAGGGAGAACCTCCCCTGCAGTGTGAGAAGGAGAGGATATGCTATTGGAAACTAAGCACTCCATGTTCTTCAAACAAAGAGGAAAAGGCTGGACTGTGCTGAGAATTAAAAAACACACCCAAAGAAATGAGATACCAAGTGGGTGTGAGATTCGACTTCTCTATTTTGAACAGCGAACCTAGATATGCTGATTCCTGAAAGTGAAGAAGGGTATGCTTTTAGAAGGCTTGATGGGAGAGAGCCAAAAGAAGCTAGTTGTCCATATAATGGTGAAACTGCAGTTCCAGGCTGCAAACGTGACAAGCATAAGCTCTAAACACCAGACAAAAAATGTATGGAGCTGAAGCAAAGCCAAAGAGGAGAGTGTAGAAATGAAACACCAGACCTTGATGAACAAACAGAAGGTAAGCATCTAAGACATAGACCTGGAGTGAAAGATAATCTGACAGTGAGAAAGGGCTCCATGGTGAAACATGGGAGGTCGATGAAGCAACTAAGGCTAAAAAAATTTATAACAGGATGCCAATTCCCACGTTCATGGGGATGACAAACATGTGGAAATAAAAACCTCTTCGATAGCATCTTTCTCCAAGAAATCCAAAACCTCTTCAGAGATATGCTGATAACAAACCAGATCCCAAGGACACGGGAAAGAAAAAGGAATGGGAGACAAAGGAGGAGAGGAGGAAAAATTATGAGCCAGTCCCTCTGACAATACCTGAAAGACCCAACAATCAGCTGTGAATAGGTGCCAAGGGTGAGCAAACCAGTCCAACTGTGCCTGAATCTAAGGAATAGTCACCATCAATTCTGACAGCACTGAAGGCTACTGATGGATTGGAGCAGAAACACTGGAAGGAGGTATAGAGAGAGGAAAGAAAGCTGGAGGATGAGAAACAGTAACAGGAGCAGGAAGAGGATTGCAAATGATGGGAAACCAGAGAAGAAATGGAGGAGTGTTAGTGCACAACCTCCACATAAGATTACAATGAATCGGCGACACCTCCAAAAACAAACTGGTGAAGGAAAAGAGCCAAATGAAGGGCTCGTAGATATGAAGCTGGCAAACAAACCTGAGAAAGAAGAGCATCTGTGCCTAACAAATCCCAACAACAAAGCAACCATGTATGGAGAGACAAAGCAGAGGAACATAAATGCCAAGAGCATAGCCAGTTGATTACCCAAAAAAACCACTCCATTGGTAGAAGGGAAATGGTGGATATCCTCAGCAAGCAAGTGGATAGACAAGAGATAATGTTGTAGAGTAGTAAGAGTGAGACGAAGATGAGAGAATTGGGCTGGGGAAAGGCAATGACAAGAGAAAGAATCTGATCCCCCATGCCTGAATAAGACTCCAAATTTTGAGAGTCTAGAAAGGGAAACGCAAGCCCAATGGTACACTAAAGCATGTGTTGTCTGCCAAAAAAGGAGAATGAAGCATGCTGGCTCCAACACATAAGTGAGATAAAAATCAATCAGCATGAACCTGAATATCTGGAGAAGGGGGGAAAAATAAAATAATTAGAAGCAGTGAAGGAGAGGAATCATAAGACACAGGAGAAAGGGGCAAAAGGTAACAAACCTGAGAAACCATATCCAAAATAGATTAATGGCAGTGGATTGAGAAGATTCAGCAAAAGCAGATGAAGGATACAGACTGTTGAAATTATCATCTTATTGAACGGGATCCCAAGGGAAAAGAACATATGTCCCTGGATAATAAGATGGACCAGGCCACATGGAGGACTACAACTCCTGATGCACTATAGCCAATACCTCCTTAACATACAGAGATGAGCCCGAAACCATGGTAGTAATCTGTCTAACAGGACCAAGATCTTGTGGATCCACATTAGACAAAGTAACAGTAACATGAAATTGCAAGTTCATAATGTGGAAAGGAAGGGGGAAAATAATAGTCAAAAGCTTTCCACAAACTAAGTAAAGACAAATGGAAAATACTGTTGTCATTAAGTAAAGTAATAATTACAAGCACAAGAAAAAAATTACAAGTCTACACATACAAGTGCCAAATCGAGAGGTTGTGACTGAACAATCAGTATAGAGGGAGCCAGCTGTGCTAGGAGGGTGTGTCACACATTCATTTGTATGCTACAGCACACCCATGCCACACAAAAACACAATAGTTTTGGTGGTAGCATCAAGGCTAGTGACAAGTGAAAGAATGCACATGTACAGAGCAGCACAAAATCAAAGAGAGCTAATATGTGAGAGAGGTAAAGTATTGCATCAGAAGCATAATTTTTGTGGCCTTCAATCTTGTTTGTTTATGGAGCCATAAACTAGAAAATCAGACCCACTTGCCACATCCACCTACTACATTCTTTCATAAATTGCTAATAATTTTCTCTGGTGTTTTATATTATTTATAACCAATACAAAGCCAAAGTTTTAATCTATCAAATGACACATGTGATTTTCTGAACAGAGAATTGTCTATTTCACCTCCAGTTCTATCTTTCTTTCTCACGGAAATCAAATTGACAAGATTAGCAGAATTTCAAAAGGCTCTTATTGCATAATTAAAAAGCCAGAAAAATTATAATAGTTACAAAACATTGTTTGTTTTTTGCATATTATTATTCTGTGTTCTTAACTGCATTATTTAATTAAATAAAATATAATACTTACTGTAGTAGTACTATTAGTATAAAGAAGTAGGCATATGTTTCATCAAAAGTCGACAACAAAAAATACGAAGGCCCAGGTAAGTACTATATTCTTGTTGTCATGTGTATTCTTTATTCATTATCATAAATGTTACAAAAATATAAATATTAGAAACTTATTAGGTTAGGTAAGGTTGGATTAAACAATAAAAAATATTAATTATAATAAAAATTCCTCATGAGGTAAGCTTGTGATCAGCTCATCCATGACATAATTATATAAAGTAATGTGAGCTGCACATTTGCCAAGTGATTTAAAAACTGTGTGGCAGGATCATTAGTTAGACTTGATTCAAAAGGCATTAACATAATAAAATTAAATAGAAATAGACGTAACTTGGAATGATTTCCTTATTTATTTACAGTGGTTAAGAGGTCAATCAAATCAACTGACCCTGTAAAGGGTTATAGTATCAAAAATAACAGATAAAATATAAAATCTTTTCTGGAAAAAAAATCTTTGATATTTATTTAAAAGGCTTCAGGGATTATGCAAATGAAATTCGAAAATGTTCAGATTAAGAAAACTATTTTTAATCCTAACATGAAAATCATTTTACACTCAGAGCAGCCAACACTCTGACTCCATATAATTACAGTAATAATAATAATAATAAGTTTTAGTAAAAATTAATTAAATATTATGATTTTCTTTTGCCTACAAATGACTTTTCATGTTTACTGAAAGCTTTTGAAGTTTCGTTAAGATATATTAAATACTTTCAGAATTATAGTATGCATACCACCATGGTTGCCTGGTGTCGCAAAGTCGTGTAAATTCGATGACAAGAAACCCGCTTTGAGACAGCTTGAATGGGCAATGAATATAATTTTAATACAACAGCAAATGTACAACGTTTCAACAGTTGTACATTTGCTGTTATGTTAAACTTATATTAAAGTTTTTCTTCATTACCCATTCAAGCCGTCTCCAAGTATTATTAAAAGTCGTGTAAAATATGAGTCCACTGTGATAGGGTTAAAGGGTGATTCTCATGTTTATACTAGTAAATATATGTAATTAAAATATACAAAAATATAATGATAACACTGGAAGTCAGACACATACAATGTTATGATAAAACTTTGACAGCAAAATAGTGATGAATCTGCTTACATTACTATCAAAATATGGCCATACCTGTCATCTTATAATCGAAAGTCAACTCCTCTCCTCTCTTAATCTCTCTTCTACTGAAGAATGCAATCCTGGGTAATCTAGGATCTAAGTTGTTAATCCATACTCCAAACACGACAAGGTTCGGGTCACACTATTGAGATATCATTTTCATAAGTTTTATTTGTAAAACATACAATTTAAAACAAGCTGTAAGACATAGGGAAACAGAAGTTGAATAAAATTTTATTTTGATTCACATAAATCATTAGCCACAGATGTCTATTTTTAGCTGATAAGAAATTCAATAACAAAATATTCAAGTTAAGCAATAGTAAAATACAATTGATTACAATATTACAAGCCTTCAAGTTTATAAGTATACAATGCAGAATTAGCCTGAAGATGTATTTTATTAGATCACTGTCACAGAACATTTCTGTCATAACACTTTATCTCCTGACTAATACTTTTTTAGTCAGTGAAGAAGTCTTTGGTATATTTCTGTCATAACTCTTTATCTCCTGACTAATACTTTTTTAGTCAGTGAAGTAGCTTTTGGTACATTTCTGTAATAACTCTATCTCCTGACTAATATTTTTTTAAGCAGTAAAGTAGTTTTTGGTACTTATCATCTATGTTCATTACCACAAGATGTCTTCATTAAATTACTACTAGTGACAGTACAAACAATTCTCAACTTATTTTTTTTAACTCAACATATATATTTATTTGTGTGGCAGCATGTGATATATTAAAATAACATCAAATATAAACAAGTGTTTTCTTCCCACCAATACTGTGTTCAATCTTGGGCTCCTTACCTTAGGAAGGGCATTGAATTGTTGGAAAGGCTTCAGAAGGGTTACTAGAATTACTAGAGTTAGGGGGGATCTGATTGAGGTGTTTAAGATTAAGGGAATTGACAGTGTTTATGTATCATCTTTTTTTATATTTAACAATGAGAATAGTAGGACTAGAGGACACAA